GGATGCTTCTGCTTGCCCATTGCTTTGGGGAAAACTTGGTGTTGAAAAGTAATTCTTTATCTTGAATTTCGCACAAAAGTTCTTGATGAGTTTGAGTCGGATCTCGGATTTTTATACCAGTCGCCCCGCTCGAGCGTGGAAACCCCCGCTCGAGCGCCACTCACAGACTCCCGCTCGAGCGGCCAAACTCCCGCCCGAGCGGCGAATGCACACTCCCAGAAGTTTTCGCAGACAGGTCCCCGCTCGAGCGCCCAATTCCCCGCTCGAGCGTCACTCAAGACTTCCCGCTCGAGCGTCCAACACTACACAGGACATACTGGATGGGTGTATTCCCCGCTCGAGCGTCCAAACCCCCGCTCGAGCGGACAAGCCAAAATCTGGGCAACTAGACTTGGTTCCTAAGCTCAACCAACCTGCTCCAAATCTTCCCAACACAACCCAAGACTCAAAATAAGAAAATAATGAATGACAACAACAATTATACAATGACGGAATCTACGGAACCTAAGTCCGGATACAATAATCAAATGGGAAAAGACCGGGGTCGCTATAGGTACTATTTTTCTTCTTCTCTATATGGATGATATGATGATCACTGGCAATGACACAGTGGGTATCTCTAGTCTCAAACAGTTTCTCAGTCGCCAGTTTGAAATGAAGGATTTGGGTCTTCTCAGCTTGGAAATCTCTCATGATCCGACTGGTTACTTTCTCTCCCAAGCCAAGTATACTTCTGATCTCTTGGCTCGTGCTGGTGTTACCGTTTACAAGACTGCCTCTACTCCCATTGATCTTCAGATTCGTCTCACACCTCTTGACAATCATTTGTTGTCTGATGCTACTTTATATCGTCAACTAGTTAGTAATCTTGTCTATCTCACGGTTACTCGTCTAGACATTGCTTGTGCTGTTCACATTATTAGTCAGTTCATGACTGTTCCTCGCTCTCCTCACTATGATGCTCTAGTTCACATTTTACGATATCTCAAAGGTACTATGTTTCATGGTCTTAACTACTTCACTCACTCTTCCCTACAGTTACATGCATTTTCTGATGCTGATTGGGCAGGGGACCCAACTGATCGCTGTTCTACTACAGGATTCTACTTCTTCTTAGGTAACTCTCTCATTGCCTGGCGTAGCAAGAAGCAAACTCTTGTTGCTCGTTCTAGTACTGAGGCTAAGTATCGTGCTCTTGCTGACACTACTCAATAGCTTGTGTGGCTTCACTGGCTTCTTTCTGATATGGAGGTTTCTCATTTTACTACGATTAACCTCTATTGTGATAGTCTGAGTGCTATTCAAATTGCCCATAATGATGTCTTCCATGATTGCATAAAGCATATTGAGATTGATTGTCACTTCATACGATAGCATGTTACTAGTGGTACTGTTCGTTTTATATTTGTTATCTCTACCAATCAAACAGCTAATATCTTCACCAAAGCTCATCCTCCTGGTCGTTTCAGTGATCTAGTTTCCAAACTCAAGTTAGTTGATGCCTACCCACCTTGAGTTTGAAGGAGACTGTTAATGTATGTTATTATATTATACTTATCTCTATCTCTATCTTTATCTCCTTGTATTTCTATCTCTATCTCCTTGCATCTTTATCTCTATCTCTTTGTATCTCTATCTTCTTCTATACTTGTCTAGATTTCTTTTCAGCCTATATATCTCCTTGCATCTCTATCTTCTTCTCCTTTTATCTCAGTCGGTGCATTACTGTAGCTGGTCTAACCATCGTATCCTGTGAGACAAATGTTGAACAATCTCCAACACCTAACCGGTGATGCGACGAATTTGTTTTAAGGGCATTGTCTAGTACAAGCTTCGATTTGCGTCCTTTTGCTAGGTTATATTAAATGGTTTGTGGATTATATATCGTACGTACGATATATAATCCACAAACCATTTAATATAACCTGTAATTTGCAAGAATCATTCAAACCAACAAAATCAACTAAATTATGAACATCCAACAAAATAAATAAATCAGCCCATACTTAACCTGTTTAATTAAAGTCATCAACTATTATAAGTTTTCATCTACAAGTTATTCCAAACTACATAATCGTCCAATTAAAATGGTCATGTAATTTATATAATTATCCAATTCACATCTATCTAGTATACAAATTTAAAACATAACAAGTAGTTCTTATTATGTTTTAAATTTTTATCCATATTGAGAGGGTAATTTATGTGTAAATTGGGCCAAGCTGGGTAATGAGCCGTTCTGTGAACCACAGTAAGAAGGGCTGAGGAAAAGGGCCTAGCAGTTAGCCCGGTCCAAGAAAGCTCTGCAGTTAACCCAGTCCAAGAAAGCTCTGCAGTTAGCTCGGTCACCACACTTAGAACGGTAACAGTTAGCTCGGTCATACCATATTGAACCGGAATATGTTGAGCTTTCTTCAGAACCTAGCTATTGGTTAGCTCGGTCCAAGCTTGATGAGATTAGTGCGGTCTCAGACAACCCAGTTGGAATATGTCAAGCCGAGGTACATACAGTGAAAGGAAGAACCGAGCTAGTGGGAGCTCAGTCTAGTCTGCGGCTTTAGCATGGCCATGTTATCTCGGTCGTATTGATATCCAACCGTGGTAGAACTATCTCACTTGGTTTAAGCAGTGAGGGGGGGGTTGAAGGATAAGCATTATCTTTCAGGAAGGTGATTCCTAGGAGGACTCTACATGGGAAAGTAAGAGTCCTACTTGGATTGTGCCACACGGAACTTATAAAAGCTCACAACATCACCTATGGAGAGGTAACACAACTTTGATTCTCGAATACACAAAGCTTTTGTCTATTTGTCTATTTTGCTGACTTAGGCATCGGAGAGGTATCTGGCACACACCCGCCGGCTAGCTTACGTTTGTGTCTTCAGGGAGTAAAGTGACGGCGTTTGGAAGAGCGCAGACTGGATCAACAGGAATATACGAGAAGATTATTTCTTGCTCGTACAATTGGCGTCGTCTGTGGAAATCACAGAAAGAACAAAACCTCTTGATCAAATTTTTCCTCGCTAGATTAGACACAATGGCGCACAATGAAGATTTGCCGTAGTCCACCATTGATGGGCAAACCGCAGAGGGAGGTGGGAGGCGCGAAGGTTTGCCTTCCATCCTTTCCATGGCAGATCTAGAGCCCCAGCGACAGAATCCCCGGAGGGATGCAAGGGGAAGGCGGGGTAACAACCCCCGTCGCTGTTCAAGTCCTGACAGATAGAGGCGGAGGATCGACCCTTAAGTTTTGGAGGATCGGGTGAAGGAGCAGGACGAGTTAATCAGGAAGATGGCGGCGGACATGGAATTGATGAAGCGCCAGATAAAAGGGAAAGGGGTGGCGACAGGAGAGGGGCGCAAAAGCAATACCCCCCCTCGCCACTCTGAAGATCGTGGTAGGCATTCCATGCCATCGCAAGCAGAGAGTAAGAGCCTCAGAATAGGCGACACTCAATCAAGGACTTCCAGGACTCGTTACTCCAGGTCTGAGAGAACGAGAACATTGAGGTCTTACACTGAGGAAGCACCTATCGGCCCTCACGTACGCACTAAACATCATCCAGGCCAACAGAGTTGCCTAGATCGTCCGACTTACGAAGTGTTCTTGAAGAAAGGGCATGACGGAAGGAGGATACCAGGGTACGCGACCCTCGCAGAGTTTCAGCCCTTGAGCGGTTGGCTCCTTGGACGCATGGAAGCATCGAGGTGGGAATGTCAATACCGCGTCTTGCTTATGAACCGACAGACAAAACATTAGCAAGGCTGCAGACCTCGCCATTTGTTCCGGTAATTGAGAACGCGCCCTTACCTTCAGGCTTTCTTCAGCCCAAATTCACTACGTATGAAGGGAAGACAGACCCCTACATGCACCTTAGCCATTTTCGCCAAGTTATGGCAGTATACCGGCGAAACGAGGCTTTGATGTGCATCCTATTTCCATCCAGCCTTGGCGACCTAGGTTTAACCTGGTTCGAAAGGCTACCAGAAGGCAGCATAGCCTCCTGGGCGCAATTGGCAGAGGCATTCGTGACAAGGTTCAGAACAAACACCAAAACACCAGTAGAGATCGATCAGCTACTCTCCATTAGCATGGGCGACAAGGAGACGTTGAGATCCTACAACAGTCGTTATTGGGAGACCTTCAACTAGATAGAAGATTGCCCCACAAATCTCGCCATCACGCAATACAAAAGAGGTCTTCCAGTTGGAAACAGGCTAAGGGACTTAGTTACCATGACGTCCCCCCTCACAATGGAAGCCTTAATGGAGAGAGTACACCAGCACATTCGGGTGGAGGAGGATGGCGCCCGTGCTAAAACAAAGTCTGATACAACCGCAATACCAGATAAAAAGACTTCGGCAAAAGTCAACGCGGTAGAACGTCCAAGCAAAAACGGGCGAGGCAGGCGGGACAACGGAGAGGACCACAATAAAAGGTGGTTGAGAGTCCGCACTGCTATTACCACGGTGTTCAAAAAACCGATCTATTGGATTCTTAGTGAGATACGCGATGAACCTTTCGTCAGATGGCCAGCCAAATTAGGAGAGGCACAAAAGGACTATGACGAAAGATCTCGGTGCACCTTCCATAAGGAAAAAGGACACCGTACTAAAAATTGCACGCCGTTAAAACAGCACCTCGAGGAGTTAGTGGTAGCTGGGCATCTGGACCAGTACATTGAGGGAGGGACGCAGCCAGCCCCCCAAAACCACGATCACCCAAATGGAACGCCGATCAACACCCCACCTCAAGGTGTGATAAACGTAATACATGGGGTATTCAAACCTGAGCGAGTATGTGAGCTCAGAGGAATGATCAAGAAGGCTGAGCACTTAAGGGAGGTATTAAGTGCGCAACCTACCATTAAAAAAGGGAAAACAGAGGCCACGAACATGTCTTTTTCAGACAGAGACTTGGCAAGGATATATTGCCCTCACAATGACGCACTGGTCGTCACTCTACGCGTCAAGGATTACGATGTCAAGCGAATTTTGATTGACCAAGGGAGCTCATGTAAGATAATGTATTATGAAACCTTCAAACAGTTGAAACTGGAAGACAAAGACTTGGCACCTGCCGTATCTCCCCTGATCGGATTCAACTCAATGCCAGAATGGCCTGTTGGCAAGATTATCCTCCCAGTCAGAGCAGGAAGTATGACAAAACAAGTGGAATTCTAGGTATTGAAAGTCCCTTCCACTTACAACATAATCTTGGGGAGGACATGGCTGCATGCCATGCGATCGATAGCGTCAACCTACCATCAAGTAATGCGGTTCCCCAACGAAGCCGGAGTAATTTAAGAGATCTTTGGAGACCAAATTATGTCCAAGCAATGCTTCGTCACAGTAAATGGTAGCTGAGCTGCCAAAGGGTTTGTTCAGATGATGGAAGAACCTGAGAGCAATGAATTATTTACGGATGTTAGCAAAGCCGCTGAACAGAAGGTAGTGGAAGACTTGGTACAGGTAAGAATAGATGAAAAGGACCCGGAAAAGTTCTTTTTGCTTGGCTCATCTATGTCCAGCACCTGCCTTAGGGCAGGGCCGGCCCTGAAGACCAAGTTTTGGGGGCTTCACAAAGCAAATCTCCATCTCAATATATATGATTAGTAGCAGCTGAATTTAAAAATTAGTAATACTCAATTCCTTAGAATTAAATGGTTTATACAGCGCACTCGCAGATCAGCACTCCACCACGCCGAGATAGTGGTGAAAGAAGTGGGAAACCTTCTAGAGACAGGAGCTATCAGAGAAGTGTACTATCCCAAGTGGATATCCAATACAGTAGTGGTGCCAAAGAAAGAAAAATAGCGTGTCTGCGTGGACTACAAAACAGTCAACAAAGCGTGCCCAAAAGACAGCTTTCCCCTACCACGGATAGACTAACTGGTAGACCTCACGGCAGGACACAACCGACTTAGCTTTCTTGATGCATACAGAGGTTATCATCAGATCGTTATGTATGAACCAGACCAGGAGGTCACATTTTTTACAACGCCAAGAGGTTTGTATTGCCACAAGGTCATGCCCTTTGGCCTAAAGAACGTAGGGGCAACATTCCAGCGGATGATCACCAAGATGTTCGAACCATTGTTAGGCGAACAATGGAGGCTTACATCGACGATATGGTAGTCAAAAGCAAAGATGAGAATGATCATCTCAGGGACCTAGGTGAGATGTTTCAGATCCTAAAGAAGCACAAGTTGCGC